CCCCGCCGCTGCCTCCGCCGCCCCCCCTAAGGCGGGCAGGGCCTCTCCCCAGGGGGGCTCGCTGCAGAAGGGGCCCAGCAGCTCACCGCCGTGGAGGTAACCGAGCAGCACCTGGGGTCCGGGCACAGTTGGAAACAAAACATGCTCACAGAAAAAAAAAGAATTTGTGGTCACCACTACTAAACTAGGTAATTTTGGGATAGACAAGAAAATTGCAAATGTTGTATAAATTTACGATTACAATTTTGCACAGAGTTTGCTGCTGCTATATACTGTACCTACCCGGGCGTACACGTTGCGGCGCCGGCGCAGGTCCAGGCAGTCCTCGGGGGTGACGGAGCTCAGATAGCGCAGCCACTGGCCGCACAGGCGGCGCTCGCCCGCCGAGCCGAGGTGCGGGCGCAGCGGCCCGGCCAGGTGCAGGATCACCTTCAGCTCCTGCACGGAAAAAAAAGAAAAAGAATTTTACCTAAATTAGCTAATACATTCGCTAATATATGGACTTAGATTAGAATATTAGCTCTCCTAGCTAAGTATTAGCTAAGGGGGCTAAAATATTAGCCATGACAGTATGTTACCTGTCCTAGCTAAGAATTAGCTAGGGAGGCTAAAATTCCAATATAAGGCCATATTAGCGAATGCATTTGCTAATTCTTTTTCCGTGTGTTGAGTAGGGCGGCGGCACATTACGCACCAAATCCTAATGCATTGTGTTGCGCATAAACGTGCAGAATTTTTTTCAGCCATAATATTATGCACTAATTATGCTTCAAATTTGTGAAAACTTATGGCTGTATAAAAGCCTGCAATGAAATGCATAAGGGTTTAGTGTGTATTTGCAAGTGGCGATTTTGTTTTCTATCGTGGTGTGTTTCTTTTTGTTTTTTTACCTCGGATTTGTCAATACTGGTTCTGCACCATATACCGAGGTTAATTTTGTTTTCTGAGTCGCTCTGCTGGCCGTACTCTTGTGTTCCCTGGCCGGTCGCTCCGCCTTGTGCTAAGCCAGCTTGGCCCTCCTGTTCTACTGTTTACCCAAGTAAGTCCCCCCCAGGCCGCCCCGCCCTGCCCCGCCCCGCCCCGCACCTGGTCCAGGTCCCAGCCGCAGCCCGCCGTGGTGCTCGGGGGACAGTCGCCGCCGTGCTCCTCGCAGCGCGCCCGCACCCTGGTCGGCACCCCTGTAGGCAGCGCGCAACTGTGTCATTTCCTGTAAGGTATATGATCCATCCAAACTGTGCTTAACGACGCACAAAATTGTCCCTCGTACCTGGACATGGTTTTACAAATTGCAGTGTAACTACGGCTGCAATAAACTACGCACTAAATCCTTATGCATTTTGTTGTGCATAAACACACATAATTTTATACAGCCATAATATTATGCACAATTTTATGCATAACGATGCACAGTTTGTGCATAATTTTGCACAATTTGTACATAATTATGCAATGCATACTTATAGCTGTATGAAATTCTGCATGCTGCCGCACAATTAAATGCATACGGGTTTAGCGTGATACAACGATTACGCTCAACAGTGTTCTACGTTTGTAAGAAAGTTTGATTTTTTATTTATTTTTTTTATTATTTTTTTTTTTTTGTGGCCAATTTATCCTAGTTTCTGGCCCGCTGCACCACCTTTGAGGAAGTGCAGCCACTGGTTGTCGGTCTCCCAGGCGGCGGGTGGTGCGGCGGGCGGGGCGCGCTCCCAGGGCGCGGGTGGGGCGCCTCGGGCGGGGCACTCGGGCAGCACGTCGTCGCCGTCGCCCGCCAGCGCCGCGCCGAGCCACACGACGAGGTGGCACACCAGCCTTTTTGCGATGCGAGCAGCGATCTCTCTTTACGACACGCCGTCCCATGATATGGCCGGCGATGGTATGGCCGATGACGGCGACGACGACGACGGTGGCCCGACCTGTTCCGACGGTCCTTGAGCGACTCCCCGCAGTACTCGGGGCTGAAGAGCCTCCGCACCCACTGCTCCAGGCTGGCGCGCTGCTCGGCCGCGCGCAGGTGCCCGCTCAGCTCCTGGAGCACGGCGCGCGCGCACCACTGCTTTTGAGCTGGCCTAGTAGTAGTGGGCCATTGTGCCACGGGCGAGAGAGAGTGGCCGCGCAGACTCACACCCTCAGCGCAGTCGCGTAGTAGATAAACTCGGTGTCCATGGCGTCGAGGTGGGTCTGGTAGTCTTGCTCGCTGCGCGACGCCTGGGGCTGCTGCTGTGGCTGCTGCTGCTGCTGCTGCTGCTGCTGCGGCTGTGCAGGCGCCGGCTCCGGTGGTGATGTTGGTGGTGCTGGCTCTTGTGGAGTGAGACTGCGCCGAGTTGAAACAAATGCGATCTGCTCAAGCGTGCAACAAATGTCAAAGTTTACATATTACAAGCGTGCAAACAAAAATGTCAAAGTTCATTGAAAGCAAAGCATTTAACTTTCTCTCGTTTTTTTGTAATTTAATATATTGCAGAAAAACAAATCAAGGCCCGGGTTTAAATTTGATTTCCGCTAAAAAAAAAAAAAACAGTGAAGAAAAAACCCTCTGTCGTATTTGACGAGGAGATACAGAAAAAATGCATTTCACATTTATAAAAGCGAACTGGAACTGTTGGAATGTATACTCATAATTGAAGTATACATGCCATGTACAACTTTTTTTCCGAATGACACTCGCGAGTTGGCAGAGCACTGCGTCGCTCGCAGTCAACAACGAAACGTCGCTGAATATCTTGTAAAACAATGTTTGCTCTCGTCACACGGCTCGCACGGTCGGGGCGTGGTGGTGCATCATGCATCCGCCCGCATCCGCGCGCGCAGCCCAGCCCAGCCCAGCCCACCCACACAGCCCCGGGGGCGCTGGCGGGCGCCGGGCGGGTAGGCACAGCCGGCGCGCAGCGGTGCGTCGCGGAGCACGGATGGCCTACCCAGCAGGCGCCCGCGGGCTGCACCGGGCCGGGGCGGGGCGACACTGGCGCAGCGGCGCACTGCTAACTTTTTAACGACGCACAAGGAGCCGCGCCATTGTGCACGGCCCAAAACACCAGCGCTGCTCGAGCCCTTGCGCCCCGCCTCGCCCCGCCCCGCCTCGCCCCGCCTCGCCCCGCCTCGCCCCGCTCCGCCCCGCCCCGCCTCGTGCGCGAGCTCGGCTGGCTGCCCTGTTGACTCTCTCTACTACCCTGCCCTACCGTCTCTCCATGTCGTCCTCTCCAGCAGAATGCTGGCCCCACGCACACGTTTGAGCGGGCAGCATGAGCGCGCTCGTAATGTAAAAGAACAGTTTTGCCCAGAACGAGGAACGGGTTTGCACGCATCTAACGACGGACACAATTGTGTCATTTAGAGAGGACAATTTTCAATCATTTTTTTTTCTCTCCTCATTTACGTTTTTGTCCATGGATCTCTTGTCTGCGGCTATAGACAAACATTCTGTTGCTAGTTTAAGGTACACAGAAAAAGGTCCTTTACAACATTTACAGTGCGTGTTGCCCTTGCATAATGTTTGCAAATCCAATAAGAGATGTTGCAAGAGGAGGACGACGTCGGTGCAGCGCGACAAGCGAAAGCCCCCCC